GTCCACTTAATTATTTAATATCAAATTAAATTTCAAAAAATTGCAGGTATATACTAGAAAATTTAAATGAGTTCATAACAAAAATAATCTAAATTAAATAAAGAAATTATTTAAACTAATTCAAAAAATAAAAGTTTGATTACAAAAATTCCAACTAATTCCAGAAAATTTAAGTTAGTCCAAATTCCTATACCAAAAATCCTAATTAATTCGAAAAAATCAAAATTAATTCCAAAAAATTAAAATTACATCTAAAAAGTCTAAATCACCTTACGATAAATCCAAATCAAATAAAAAAAAATGCAAATTACATCTAAAAAGTCTAAATTACCTTACGATAAATCCAAATCAAATAAACAAAATGAAAATTACATCTACAAAGTCAAAATTACCTTACAATAAATCCAAATTAAACAAAAAAAATGCAAAGTACGTAAAAAAAAGTACACAATTTCGCAATTCATCAAATACATTGCTGATAATATCAAATATATCATCTTTCAATCATCATCAACCAAATCACTCATGATAGTACTATCATCCAAGCAAAACTCCTTTAACTCTGCAAAATTAACAAAACCACAAATAAATTAATAATAGTATAAACAAATGATAAAGTGTTAAAACCACATTGTTGATAAAATTCATACCTTGCTCAAGTTCTTCAATTTCCTCAAACTTCTCTTCCATATCAATTGGAAGAGTACTCGATCGAAGCCAATTCTGACCACAAATCAAACTTTCAACGACCAAGGGAGTCAAAGAACTCCGAAATGCATCTAGAACGCGTCCACCGGTACTGAAAGCGGACTTGGATGCAACAGTAGATACTGGAATCGCCAACACATCTTTAGCCATCAAACCCAATATCGGGTACTCACTAGAGTGCTTCTTCCACCACGCTAAGATATCAAAATTCTTATCCTCATCATCCTCAATGTTTGCCTTTAAATACCTCTCAAGTTCCGAAATAGTAGTTTCTCCAGCTCTATCTTCTATTCTCTTTCTTTTAAATTTTCTCTTCAGATAATCCTCAACATTTTCACACTCCTCGTTCTCGTCATTTGGCTCTACACTCCCCCCACTTCTTGAAGAACTTCCACAAATAACCCCTCTCATTTCTGAATAGTTCTTGAACATGTCATCCAGAAAACCCTTCACCTTATTATGCAACTCCTCCTTGGTCCAATCTCCCCCATTATCTTTCCCATAAACTTCATCAAGTGCAAAAACCACATATTCTAGCTTGTATCTCGGGTCAAGAACCACAGCAATAAATAACAAAGGGTTAATATTGTCCAAATTGCCCCAATACTTGTCATGCTTAGCTTTCATTCTCTTTGCCATGAGTTTTTGACCATACACTTTAGATGAAGTTTCCTTTTTAAGCATGCAAGCGATGCCATATACTACATGAAAGAGATCATTGCTTGTGACATACAAAGATCCCGAAACTTTCATTGTAGCATCATAAAATATCTTCAGAAATGGAACTAGAGACTCCACATAAGACCAGTCCAACTCCTTTGGAGTCCCTTTCAACTTCTCAAGCTCAACTTTATACTTGGGATCCTCCTCCTCTAACCTCTCAAATGCCCTTTGAAATTGCAAAGCCGACTCCAACATCATGAAAGTAGAGTTCCATCTAGTCTCCACATCTAAACATACAAGTTTTTTGGTCTCTAACTTCTCTTCATGAGCACAAGTTTTAAATCTCTGCATCCTAGAGTTCGATGATCTAACATATCTGACTGCCGATCGAATACGATAGATTGAATCATCAACATCCTTTAATCCATCTTTCACGGTCAAATTCAATATGTGAGCACAACATCTCATATGGAGATGTTGTCCTTTCAAGACACTTCCCTTCCAGTTGTTAATTCTTTTCTTCAAATATGACATGCCCACATCATTAGAACTTGTGTTATCCACTGTTACAGTTAGGACCCTATCAATCCCCCAACTAAGCAAATGTTTTTCAACCGTCTTCCCAATTGTTTGACCCGAGTGATTAGGAATAGAAGAGAAGTTGATAATCCTTTTTTGCATCCTCCAATCATGGTCAATGAAGTGGCCAGTGAGACTCATATAATCCAGATGATGTCTACTTGCCCAAATATCAGTTGTTAGACAAACTCTGATTTGTGATTGCTTAAAGAAACTTTTCAACTTTTTCTTCTCAACCAAAAACAACTTGAAACAATCTTTTGCTACAGTGATTTTAGAAGGAATATGAAACTCGGGTCTTAGTGAGTAGACGAAATCACGAAATCCTTCACGCTCAACATGTCTAAAAGCTAACTCGTCTATGATAATCATTCTAGCAAGCTTCATTCTTGAGACAGTTGGGTCATATGCTTGAGCTACAAAAGAGGGAGATGCACTGCTAGTACCATGAACACCAGTTGCCTGAACGTTAGGAGTTCTATTACTCTTCAAGTTAACATCACTATACGGGTATACTTTACATCTTTGCAAATGTCTTCTCAAACTACTAGTCCCAGAAGTAGATGCACACTTCAATTGCTTTGGACAGTATTTGCAACCAGCAAGTCTATTTGGCTTATCCGACCAATTCATTCTTGTAAAGTGTGGCCACACATCTGAAGTTCCAAATGCACCTTCTTCACTCTCACTAACATTCGTTGGCAGAACTCTTTCGGAAGGTGTGTCGGTAGAGCTAGCCATGGGATTGTTACTAGTTGCTTCGTCCATAATTTCAAATCTAAAAATCACACAAATATAAAGAGTGGTTAAAAACCTGAAATCCACATGGGATATGCTTCAATTACTTATTATTTCTAGTTACACCATGTGTGGATTTTTATATTTTATCTGGAATTTTTTTAATTTTTATTCCACTTGTTGGGTTGTCTTAAACTACAATATTCAGATGATGATACATTTCATATACATTGTCGTACATAACATAGATGCATGCAAAACTATGTTTAGAAAAACAAAACCATCTATCTAGTCATGGCTGGATCTAACCTAAAAGGTGGTCAATACTATGGTCTCATGATGAACAATAAAATGCATGTGGCTGTGAAGACAAGTGGTCTCCCGTGGGCATAACCCATCGGCATGACTCACTCGTTCTTCGCAAAAAATGACCCTAAAAGGTTCAAGGTGGGCCCGGTGTAGGACCAATATAAGCTAGGTAATATTATTTCATATGCACATGCAAAATCAAAATACTAAAATTCATCCATAATTATAAATATACATCATTTAACACCACAAAGCATATCTCTTCATGTTAAGCATTTAACACCACTAATCGCCAGATGAGTAGGTGTCAGGATTACCTGCACAATTATCAAATACTAATTAGATGAACTCAGAGAGTAGTTAAGGGCTTCATCCACAACCTTGAACATAAATTGCCCCCACAAGAAAATGAATGAAAGAACAACCAACCTCTTTGAACCTCACAATGTTGATCCTTTTTCTTCAGTAAGCCTTTTTCTTGGTTCACAGTGTTGTTAATGTTGACTGTTGACTAGCTTTGTCGCTCACTGGAAAAAAAAAAAGAATAGGAAGGAAAGAGATAAGTATACAAGACCATGAATGAATATCATTATCTACTTTAACTTGAGTCTAGGCTTTAAACTTAGACCTGAAGTAAATCTGAAGCTAAAAAGGGATGGCATCTTTTCTTTTCTCTTCTCTTCTTAGAGAAGCCTTCTAATAGATTGAACTAACTAGATGGATATGCTTTATTTAGTAATTAATTGGTAAAGTAAGAGAAAGTTCAATGTTTGAATTAACTTGAATACCAATCTATACCCAGAAAGAGTGAACTGCCAATGTATGCAAACTTTACCAAAACATATATGGGAGGTGTGCAGCAGTTCCAAGCTTTGAAAACAACATAAAAGTAGTGCATTGGAAGTACCTCTTTCTCTTTTAAAAGAGCGGCATAATTGACCGACAATGCTTTGATTTCTGCTTCAGATTCTTGGAGCTTTCTAATCTCTGATATGTACTGTTCAATCTACAAATGCATAAAAAGAACATGAACCGTAAAAATTTGGTCATAATATGATAAACCCATCCACAAAAACCCATCCACAAAAGCATCAATTAAAACAAAGCAAGTCAAGATTCAGAAGAATGAATAGTAACTATACAAGTTTGCGGTATAGGTTCATAGTAACTTTCTGTGTAAAGAACACTAGAACTACTAAAATAAATAGAAAATCAACAAATATACAATGCAGGAAGCTTGAAACAGATGAGAAACAAAAGTAGCTAACCTCGATTGCTATATGGACAGCAAGGTGTCCTGTAACAGCTGCAACGACTGCTGAATTGGGTCAAGCAGCTACAACAGCTGCATAAACAAGCATTGCAACAACCACAGAAGAAAGATTGAAATCCATTCTGAAACAGCACCGAGGTGTACCTCAGTCATCTATTTAAAAATCTCACGATAAAAGAACCCAGGGCATCAACCAACTGATAACAAACACTAAATCATACACACCCAGGGCATCAACCAACTGATAAAAGAACCCACAATCCGATGCAAAAGAAAGGGGTGAACAAGCAAGCACAGCAAAAAGCAGTGTTGGGTAACCATGAGGGATGGAGTAAATGCTGTTCAACGGTATTTTGAAAATTCATCCTCTGCAAGTTTGGTGCCTGAAATCTAGATGGCATATTCAATAGGACATTACTTTTTGGCAGGGTGCTGATAAATGTTCGCCATATACCCTACTCAAATTAGATCCAGTATAAAGTCATGGGCAGACGGCAGTGACCCAAAATGATAGGATTCCACTTAATTTGGCAAATGGGATAGTGATCTTAATCACTTTCACACATGATCATTATGAATCCTAGTACTACTCATGAAATTATCTTTAACCATTATGATTACACCAAAACTCGCTTGCTCTAAAGCTATATGTACATACATTCATCATCACTAGATTAACCTATAGCCTCTGTGATTCAGCCTAAATTCATTCGGTTGGACCCGGTTATCATCAGAATAGCCCATTCAACCTCTCATTAATTAATTCATTACCAGGAATCCAGCTGCAGAGGAGCTGCTCTTTCCCAGCTGTGGCAAGATAAAGAACAGGGACACCACTGAGAACCCGCAGACTATTCCATTCGCAGCCACCAAAAACCTGCCACAAAAACTGTTTTAGTACCTCCCTCCCATAACCATTATGCAACAAGTATGGCCACGTAAACTATCACGCAGAGCAATTACGATTTGATTCTGTAAGTAAATCAACCCATACAACCAACAACACAGTACAATCTCTAGAATTACCGTAAACCAATCGTGCGCTAACCTTGCGGATTTGAGTAGAGGATCCTCGATTTTCCCTTCTCACCCATCAATCTCCTGCGGATGTGAAAAAATCCGGCGCCGGGGAGACGACGGGGAGCTAGAACGAGTAAGGGAAGCTGCTGTGGCGGGGGATAGGGGAGGGCGGCGGCGGGAGGGTGAACCCGAGTGCTGGACCGGCGCAGAGGATGAAGGAGATGCGGCGGCGGTGGATCGATGATGGGGTAAGCGATGGCGGTGAAATCGACGAACCCGAAGGAGGAGTTCAAGAGGTCGATGATGTAGATGATAGCGCAGTCGACACTATTGCGAGGAAAGAAGGGATGGACCGCAATGGGTTGGGTAATTAGGGATTTAGGGTTAAAATGGGTCAAAATGGGCATGAATGGGTTTTAAGGGTAAAACCCAAAAATACCCTACCCTCTAGTCAGAATGTGACCCGACCCTATTTTGGCCCTAAAGACTAATTGACCGTACCCAACCCACCGGGTTGGGCCGGGCCGGGCCGGGCTGACGGGTAGTAAGGGCCAAAGTTACAGCCCTACCAAATCATAATGTGAATTTGTTTATAAAAAAATGTCTGAACACTAATTCGGCCTATAACAATCGCAATGTGAGAAAACCCTAATCACAGACGCAAAAGAAAATATTGTCCGATAATCTCGGAGCTATCTAAATTTAATTAATTTCTGCATAACAATTCACATATTTTAAGTGTTATTAAGACCGACCCGAGCCGGTAAAACCGGCACCGGGACGCAAAACCGATTCGGGTCAGTTTTAAAACCGTAGCGGTCAGAATGGGCGGTCGGTGAGCGGCCGAAGTGGTTAACCGCTCGAACCGTCTGCCCAGTTTTTGGAGCTGACCGCTTGATATTAAAAAATATGGATAAAAAATTGATGTCGAAGGTCGACGCCCTCCCAAGCGCTGGCGCTTTTTCGAGCTTCTTTGGACTCAGCCCGGCGACTGACAAGACACAGCCGGCGGCTTTAGTGAAGAAACAAATGAATGACGAGGTGGAATTCAATTAATGTCCCAATTTTTACTTTTGCTTTGTTGTTCGACATGGGCTTTCGGGTTATTTCAGAAGAGGAAGGAGGAGAGGAAGAGGAGGCTGGAGAAAAAGCGGAACATAATAATTGAACAAATGGAAGAGTTTCGGAACTGATGTAGAGGAAAGGTAGAGGAGAGATTGGAGAGGGCGGCCGCCTGTGGAAAGTTGGGGAGGTAGGGTTTTTAATGGCCTTTTATATAATGTCAAATTACTAAATCATACATGTACATGTAAATTTCATTTTACTCATTAAATTGTTAAGTTATTACTTTATCAGTCTTTTACTCATGATAATATTATTTATAAGGTACCAGTTCTTTAACGATTCTTTAACGATCAAATACCGATTGGATCAATACAATACAAGTCGTTCATGTTACCGGATCAAGCTCCGGCTCGGTTCCGACAACATTGCATATTTTTATAAAGACTAATTCCCACTTTTCCAAATTTCTACACCAACCAACCCTACAACTACAAATATATTACATATCTGTTTTTCTAGTTTGTAAATGATTTGCTTAATATGTGGCAATTTATGCAATCAACCAAAATTACGGTAGATACGACGTGGCCTTTTATCCTCCAGGTAGATAGCAGAGCGGAACGTGTGAAAGATGCAGGTTCAGGACAACCAACTTTCCTCTAGTAGTTGCTCCGTCTGTTGCATACTCAGTTGCAGTTGCAGCCTGCAAGAAACATATTTTGGTTCGAGATCTTTTCCAAATTTCTCAAGACGATTCAGACCCTTTACTGATACGTTCTCTTTCTGATACAGTCTTGAGAAGTGGGTTTCTTAAGATTTTCTTTGAGAAGCTCGAAATCAATGGCCATGGCTATGCAAGTTACTGGGATTGCGTGCTTCTCATCTTCTGGGTTTTCGCAGAGACATCAGAGGAGGAGCTTTCGCCGGAGTGCAGCTCCCAGAGCTGCTGCTTCCGAGGGATTGGCCACTCCGAGTGTTGACGATAACAAGTTGAAGTTAGGAGGGTCGGAGTTGAAGGTCACGAAGGTTGGAATCGGAGCTTGGTCTTGGGGTGATACCAGCTACTGGAACAATTTTCAATGGGATGGTAAAATCAAAATCAGACCTCGGTCGAAACCAAGTTTCTGTTCTTGTTTCCTTTTCATGGCTGCCTGTTTGAAAATTTGGGAAATGCTCAATTCATGATCGTTTCTGTACGAAACAATGAAACCTCATGTTTCGATGCAACTCTTGGGTGTACTTTGTAAGTTTCGTTAGGTGATGTATGAACAGATAAAAAGATGAAGGATGCTAAGGATGCTTTCAATGCCAGTATTGATTGTGGCATAACCTTGTTTGATACAGCTGAAGTTTATGGCTCTAAGGTGGGACCTGGTTCTTGGTTTCGCTTTTGTTTCATTTCCAAATATGAACATAGTCAATCAGTGATTACTTTTGAATTGAATATCGTCCCGTTCCCCTTTCAGTTATCATTTGGTGCCATCAGTTCTGAAACTCTGCTTGGAAGGTACTTCATCTCCTGAAACTTAACTACTTAGGGCGAAGAACAATTTCTCTGATATTGCTTTTTTTTACTTCAAATTCTCACAGTTCAACATCATATGTTTCCGTGTAGATTCATCAGTGAAAGGAAGAAAAGGGAACCGGAATTGGAGGTGGCTATTGCCACCAAGTTTGCTGCATTACCATGGAGGCTGGGACGTGAAAGTGTCTTATGTGCCCTTAAGGACTCCCTAAGCCGCCTTGGGGTATCCTCGGTTGAACTGTATCAGCTCCATTGGTATGTCATTTTTTTCAAGTTTACATCAAATCAAGTAAGAGGCTTCTACCAGCAAATCGCTTCTCCTGAACAGTAGCTCATCTAGGGATGGCAAAAGTATCCGTAACCGTGGATATCCGCCCGAATCCGGCCTAATCGGGTAGGGTAAAATCCGAACCCGAAGGACATTTAGTGGGTACGGGTAAAAACCGAACCCGAATATTGCGGGTAATGGGTGGGCATGGATTTCTCATTATCCAACCCGAACCCGCCCGATTATACACATGCATATGTATTTTGTCTAGAAATAATCATTATTTTTCTCTAACATATTTTATATTTAGCATATAAATATAAAATTTTCATGAAATTGTGTAGTTTTAATTAATTTTCTTCATTCTACTGAATTATTGTCGTACTTTTCCTCTTGCGTAATGTGAGAATACGTGTGAATGTTAACATATTGCTTGGAGTTATGAAGAGAAATTATTACCCATGGATAACCGTGGATACCCGAAACCCGAACGGGTATGGGCATGGTTTTAATTTTCTACCCATTTCACAAGTGGGTATGGGTATGGGTAAAACCCGAACTACTATGGGTAGGGTAACGGATATGCACTATCCGCATCCGACCCGACCCATTGCCATCCCTAAGCTCATCATGTTTTTTTTTTTCTTTTTTTCTTCTTGTACTGGTCTTCAGGCCAGGACTGTGGGGAAATGAAGGTGGTTACACTGCTGCTTCGTTGTTTAGTTGAGCCAAAATAGCTGCTGATATGCTGAAATTAATGTCCTCGTTAACTAGAAAGAAGAAAAAAAGAATACATTTTAGGACTTGCCGCATTGGGCTTAGAAGAAGCTCAGTTCTTTCCAAGTTGATTTTCAGGGTACATAGATGGTCTTGGAGATGCAGTAGAGCAGGGCCTAGTGAAAGCTGTTGGTGTTTCAAACTACAGTGGTAAATCTCTTGTTTCAACTACTAAACCGTGGTAAATTTCTTATTTCTTCATTTTAACCAAACTACTGTCTAACTGCCATTTGTAACTGCAATATGGGTGCACTGACATACACACTCGGGTCCCTCCTAACCCAAGAGAGTCGTCTTCGAGCGGCTTATAAGCAGCTGAAGCAAAGAGGTATCCCGTTGGCCTCAAACCAGGTAAACTACAGCCTTATTTACAGAAAGCCAGAGGAAAATGGAGTCAAAGCGACCTGTGATGAACTGGGAGTCACCGTCATAGCCTACAGTCCAATTGCCCAAGGTGGTATTCTAAGTTCATATATTCGTGTTTCTCAGTTCACCAACTCGTAGCTGAAACATGTTGTTCACCAATTTACCTAGTTCTTACTTCCATTAATATGATCGTGCTTTCAACGTTGCCAGGTGCTCTTACCGGAAAGTATACGCCGATGAACCCACCAAGCGGACCACGAGGCAGGATTTACACTCCGGATGTTCTAACCAAGGTATGGATGGGTAGATTTGAGAATCTGTTGCCTTCATGTGCCAGAAAAATTTGCTAGCTGAAGTTTGCTTCTACAATGCACAGCTCCAACCACTAATAAAAAGAATTGGAGAAATAGGTGGCAAGTACGAGAAGACAAACACACAGGTCTGTCATCCTCCGTGCTTGGATGTTTTTTTTTTTCTTTTTTTCTTCTTGTACTGGTCTTCAGGCCAGGACTGTGGGGAAATGAAGGTGGTTACACTGCTGCTTCGTTGTTTAGTTGAGCCAAAATAGCTGCTGATATGCTGAAATTAATGTCCTCGTTAACTAGAAAGAAGAAAAAAAGAATACATTTTAGGACTTGCCGCATTGGGCTTAGAAGAAGCTCAGTTCTTTCCAAGTTGATTTTCAGGGTACATAGATGGTCTTGGAGATGCAGTAGAGCAGGGCCTAGTCAAAGCTGTTGGTGTTTCAAACTACAGTGGTAAATCTCTTGTTTCAACTACTAAACCGTGGTAAATTTCTTATTTCTTCATTTTAACCAAACTACTGTCTAACTGCCATTTGTAACTGCAATATGGGTGCACTGACATACACACTCGGGTCCCTCCTAACCCAAGAGAGTCGTCTTCGAGCGGCTTATAAGCAGCTGAAGCAAAGAGGTATCCCGTTGGCCTCAAACCAGGTAAACTACAGCCTTATTTACAGAAAGCCAGAGGAAAATGGAGTCAAAGCGACCTGTGATGAACTGGGAGTCACCGTCATAGCCTACAGTCCAATTGCCCAAGGTGGTATTCTAAGTTCATATATTCGTGTTTCTCAGTTCACCAACTCGTAGCTGAAACATGTTGTTCACCAATTTACCTAGTTCTTACTTCCATTAATATGATCGTGCTTTCAACGTTGCCAGGTGCTCTTACCGGAAAGTATACGCCGATGAACCCACCAAGCGGACCACGAGGCAGGATTTACACTCCGGATGTTCTAACCAAGGTATGGATGGGTAGATTTGAGAATCTGTTGCCTTCATGTGCCAGAAAAATTTGCTAGCTGAAGTTTGCTTCTACAATGCACAGCTCCAACCACTAATAAAAAGAATTGGAGAAATAGGTGGCAAGTACGAGAAGACAAACACACAGGTCTGTCATCCTCCGTGCTTGGCAACCGTTGAAACTAGTTTTAGTGCACCCTCTTAAGTTGAATTCAGGAAGATCGAGAATGATGTAGCTATTGAAAACTATGGTTACTTTATTCTGCTAAAGGAATTAATGGTGTCCCTTTACAGGTAGTGTTGAACTGGTTAATATGTCAGGGGAATGTGATTCCAATCCCAGGCGCCAAAACTGCTGAGCAGGCCAAGGAATTTGGGGGTTCAGTTGGGTGGAGTCTTTCAACTGACGAGGTTGATGAACTGCGGTCCATGGCATCAGAAATAAGCCCAGTTATTGGGTTCCCTGTTGAAATGCTATGAAAATTTGGTCCAACTGAGATGCCGATGAAATATTTAGTAAACACTAGCCTGTCTCATCGTGTAACGGGAATCAATGATAAATAGTCTTCATGTCATTGCTGCGTATGAAGAACAGAACATAACAGGTTTGTTAATTGGACAAGATTTGGCCTGCTCCAAGCAATTGTATTCATCCCAAATCGAATGATCGCCGAGTCACAGTATCATTTACTTAGCAGCTGCTAGCTGGTTGGTGCTATTGTAAGTCGGAGAACAAAACCACAACCACCACCAGCTGCCATATGTAATCACAGTAAGAAAAAACAACGAGTCCCTGTTTATCTCTTCGCTGTAAACCGTAGAACCTTGTGAAAGCAAAGCAAACAGATTTTGGCACCTAATCTTCAAACCGACATCTCTTCATTTTGTGTACGCAACATCAGTAAAGATGAGATTGCTGCTTGGGAATACTCGCCAAAAGAAACTATGTTGCCGTTTGTTATTATTATGGTTGTCAACCTACGGGTCGACCAACAGATTAATCCGAATCCAAAGAGGAAAACAAATACCTGAACTTTCCTGGTCCCCAAGCAAACACTACCTACAATCATACAACTCAATAAGCACTAAACATGATACTCAACCATCGATCTTAGATAGTGGATCATAAGTGAACTTACAAGGCAACATTCGACTGCCAGAAGGACCATCTATATTTTCAATAGCTCATCAATCTTGGACTTGAGAGGTCGGAAATCAACAGATTGTACACCTCTCTCTCTCTCTCTGTCTCTCTCTCTCTCTCTCTCTCTCTCTCTCTCTCTCTCTTCACTCTCGAGGTTTTGCTTCTTTAGAAACACCCCAATCATACTCACTATTCGCCATCTCCTCAAACAACTGTGTCATCTGAGGTGGGGTCTTGTTCAACGTTTTCCCTTGGGAGAAAGAGTTTATGAGCTGACAGTCCTCCTGGAAGATTCCATTGTAGAAGGTGCACACCTTGAAATGATCATCGAACCCGTGTTGGGGACACTTCAAAAACATATCAGGGTATCGCTCCCAAGCATCCCAAAATGTGCCATCATCCTCCTGCGGATAGTGAGTGTGATTCGGGTCTAATTGTACACATTTTACCCCTCATTTCTTGATAGATTGGCTTTGCATTTCATCGCCCCTCGACCTATTTTACGCCAGGTTATGCTTGTTTTGTTACATTTCGGTTCCTAGCACGTGTGGGAAGGTCGGGGATGAGTTCGAGTCGATTGGAGGTCAAAAAGCATGAAAAAGTAAAGAAAAGTGATCGTGACAATTTCCCCGAGACCATGAAGTGCTGAGGTTCTAGAGCAGTTATCGGTCTCACTGGACTTAAGTCAGTTCACGGTCGTAAGACCGTGAAATCAAGCCACAGACCATGAAGTGACTTAGTGAAACGGTGCGAATTTGCCCGAGATAACGGTCCCCGCCTTGAGTTCACGACCGTGAACTAGGACCGTAATTTGAGCTCGACCTGGGTATAAAAGGGGAAGTGCGCTGAAGGAGAAAGGGGGCTTTTTTCTAGGGTTTTAGTTTTTAGAATAAAGGAGGGTTTCTAGGGAGAGATTAGGGTTTCCTTTTCCTAATCTAGAGAGAGAAAGTGTCATTCAAAGGAGGAAGAAGGAGATTGGGCTTGCCCTAAGCTAGAGGAGCGAAGATTCTTACCTCTCAAGGGAGATTCAAGCAAGGAGGAAGGAGGATTGTCATCTCTTCATGATTCTTTCTCTCCTCTTTCTTGTTTTCCTTTGCCTAGCTATGGAATAGCATACCTATTCACTTGGCTGTTGTGAACCCTAGTTTGAAATATGTGATAGATTGTATTAATTGGATGCTTTGTGTGTGGGTTTGTGTTTAATGCAAAGTTTGAGGTATTTTAATGATGTTTAAGTTGTGTTCTTCAATTCTCATTACTATGCCAATTTGACCTAGGTAAAAGGGAATCCCCCTTTTGTTAGGGGGCTTTGATAAGCTGGATTTCTTGGCCAATTGAGTCACCTACCTAGGGAAAATTAGGGCAAACCTCAAACTTCGATTTAGCACTTTAACTTGAGTGTTACTTTGCCGTCCGGATTAAGTTCCGAGAGATTGGTCCTTGCAACCCTTAGTTTTATTGGTTAAGAGAGCTAGGACTCCTAGCTTATTGTTGCAATCCCTTAGCCGAAAGGTTAAGAGAGCTAGACTCCCTAGTTTATTGTAGCAATCCTTAATCCATTGATTGAGAGAGCTAGGGTTCCTAGCTTAGTTGTTTTCCTTAACCGATTGATTAAGAGAGTGGGGTTTCCTTCACTTGTTGCGCCTTCCTACGGTGCATTATCACACCTCCATACATTTGCATTCGATTTGAGCGATCTTGATATGTAGCTAGGGGGAGCAATACCCGGATGAACTCTTCTCTCATTGGGAAAACCTCGATTTACATTACTTGCTTGTTTTCATCTGTAGTTTTCTTAGTTTTAAACTAAAGAACGTTTGCTAGATAACAAACTAAGCGATTGAAGTAGGGGTACATGGACTGGCTCGGGTTTGACAATTAAAACATACTTGCCCTATACTACACCCGACTAGAGTTTATGCTTGGGCTCTAGTCGGGATTTAAATGGCGGTGTATCTGTGGCGAGTCAGAGTGATGTTCCTTCTCAATTCTGCAGTCTTGGAAATAAAGTTAATACCGAGCCATGAATTTCTCCACAAGGTCGGTTCAAGAGGTGATGGAGACTGAATAGTGCTGACTGATATAGCCACATCCTTCTTATATCAATCAAAGAAAAGGGGGAACAACCGCAATCTGAGGGCATCTTGCAGTACTCCATTGGCCTTTATACCATTTGTCATCTCCAAGAACCGGTTAAGATGCTCTCGTGGTTCCTCATTATTCCTCCCATGGAACTGGATGTTGTTTTGAATCATGTAGACCAAACCCGGAGGGACAATTTCTACAACCGGTATTTAAAACCAAAGGCAAAACAGTATAGACTCTAGCTATTAAAATGACACCCAATACAGCACTACGATTTCTCACTCTCAAGTTTTCGATTCTCAACGTTCAATTCAAGATGCTCTATTGGACTAATCGAATATTCTCTCTCAAAGGTCAAAGAACAATTGAAAGAGTGTGATCATGACTCATGCAATTCATCATGAACATTAATCAAATAGATAGTAGGAATTCGCAATCATAGGGTTCAAACAACAATCAATCTAACACATGGAACTAGGGTTTCTCACACTCAAGTGAGAGAGAAACTACTCCAAAGAGATGAAAAATACCCCCAAGAGAATCAGCTGCCATAATCAAGCAGAGGCTAGAAACGGCTTCTCTTCGTCAATCGTCACTCCTCAGTTCTTGGGTTGAGGTCCAGTGGTGGTTGGATGGCTCTAGGAAGCTCCAATGATGAGTTCTTCGACACTTGTCTCTCTAAGCTCTTCTCAGCTCATTTTTCAGTCTAAAACTCGATCCTCTTTGCAATTTTCCTCCAAAATCCTATTTTCCTCTATTTTTCAGTCTAGAAGATCACGATCAACCAGACCGTGAAGCATATGGAGTCCTAGAGGTTTTTGCACACCTCGCAGGCATTCAGCAGTTCACAGTCACCCAACCGTTAAACCCACTCCAGAACGTGAAGCGACTAAGTGAAACGGCACACTTTTGTTTGACATCAAGGTCCAAGCCCAATGTTGACAACCATGCACTAGTACTGTGAAATGACGTCGATCTGGGTATATAAGGAGGGCTGAGCTGAAATAGAAAAGGGGAAGAACCTAGTGAGAGAGACTTCTTCTTCTTTTTCTTCTTCTTCTTCTTCTTCAGATTTCTAGAGTGAGAAAGTGACGAACAAGAGAAGATGAGAAGTTAAGGTTTCATCCAAGAGCAAAGTTTTGGAAATTTCTTCCTCCAAGGTTGATCTCAACACCACAAGGAAGAAGGAAAGCATCTTCAAGATGGTTTCTCTCTTCTCCTTAATGTATTCCCTCTACTAATTAGCATGGAGTAGTCCTTTCTTTCACTTGGGTGTTTGTGAACCCTAGCTATAATTATGTGAATGTTTGTATGGGATGAATGACTTGTGTGTGATTGTATTTTAATACAAGTTATGAGGTATTTTCATGAAGGTTATGTTCTATTTATGCATTTCCAACTATTATGCCATTTTGACCTAGGTAGAGGGAAATCCCCTTCTTGCTAAGAGGCTTGTAAAAGCAGGAATTCCTTGGTCAAATTGTGCCACCTACTTAGGTTGAATTGGGGCAAACCTCTTAATACGTATTAGCACATTTGGTAGGTTGTATTTTGGTCGTCTGAACTACGGTTCGAGGGAGAAGCCCAAGCAAACCTTAGTCGATTGGCCAAGAGTGCTACCTTGGTAGCTTGATTCTAAATTCCGTGGCCTAGTGACCGAGAGACTGATGCTTGCTCACTTGTTGCGCTTCCCTACGGTTTACAACCTCCTTTACCACACATTTGCATTCGATCCGACAAATCATGATTACTAGCTAGGGGGAGCAACACTTAGGTGAAGCCTTCTCAATTAGTGTTCAAACAGTTTACTTTTCCACTCACTTTAACTTTAAACCATAGTTTTTACCAAAAACTATTTGCTAGATGATGTTTCAAACAATTGAAGTAGGAATACATGGATTAGCCTGGGTTTGACTTTTAAAATATACCTGCCCTATATTGCACCTGATTAAGGTTTATACTTGGGCCTTAATCAGGATTTTTATTGTGATATTCGGGACAAGTCAAGTTTTTAGCGCCGTTGCTGGGGAGCTTCAGTCTGTTATTTTGAAAAGATTGTTTGGCGTTAATCTAGTGTTTACTTTTTGTTTTGTGAGTGTGAATCTTACTTGTGTTAGACGAGTTGTGTTTCTTTGAAGTGTGTGCAGGAGAGTGTATGACCTGGAGTAATCCGACACCTTTGGCGCCTCTAGACAAGAATCTCAACCGCACTATCTGACTCTTGGCTCATGAGATGAAGATGGCTGAAGCAAGTTGAAGGATTGAGGAAAGGGGACAAGCACAAATTGGTCCCGAAGTTGAAGGAGTTATAGTTGAGGAATTGTTTGAATCGGAGGAAGAGGAAGGAAGTGAAGCCGATATAGCGGATAATCAAAATACTCAAGAGGGAGCTGAGGAATCAAGGACCATGGGATACTATATGGATCCATGGGTGGTGGATATCCAACCAACCATTTTGCATCCACCTGTGGCCGCCAACAATTTCGAGATCAAGCCCGACCTCGTCACAATGATCCAAAACAATGTGCGTCGAGATTGCGAGAAGTTTGAAGATCAATGGGGGTACCTAAAGAGGCTTTGAAGTTGAGGCTATTCCCCACTCTCATGCGGGGAATGCGTTCAGGGGGCTCAACAAT